TCAAAAGTTCGTGGATTTACATCTTTACCAAGTATTACTGAAATCGATTACCGGACAATGCGCGAAACCGGATTCGTCCCATAGTTTACCACCCTTAGAGGTGGAATATTTTCTTTAAAAAAAAATAGTCATAAAAATCAGTTCACAAATATTTTATCGTGTAACATACATACAAAAAAATCGAATTGAGAACCTCCTCCTTTTTGTAAGTGGGTTGAAAATAGTTCCGTTTCCTAAGAATATAAAGTATACACAAAAAAAATAATACACAGTGAACTTACGGAATTATTTTGTATTGAAACGACAGCGCAGAGATTATCATCGGATTCAATTATTAATATTACGCTTTTTGGTATCGTGTAGTTAAATCTGAAAATAAATTTTAATTAACACATAAGCCTGAATTGTAGCGGAAATTACGCCGCTGAATAAAGCGTTATCTATTGTTCTTTATTTACCACATAAATAACTTTTTTATAAAACAAAACCGACCTCTAATTTTGTGAATTTAGATACATCTGTTTGCTAAGTTTTATTTAAATCGGTTAACGGAAATTGGGTGAAGTCCAGTTAACCGGATTCATCCTCTATTACAAGGTCAAAATTAAAACATTCGCTTAAAATGTTATCTAATAAGAAATTTGACTGATATTCATTGCAATTAAATTTGAAATTTTCAAATTTCAAAAAAACTGCTTCTGTGGCCGAACAGTTACCATGCTGATCTGCCACACAGAGCTATGAGTGTGTGCGTTATTATTATTATTATTTTAATTATTTTCTTTGTAAAAATTTTGCAAATTCCTTTTTACTATCCATCTTGGCTGTATGCGTCTTGCTTTTTACAACATTTTAGTTCGAGTTGCATTTATTATCTATGGAAGAATACTTGTTGGACACCTGTTGATAAAAAAAATACTCGCCATTTCCAAAATCCATAATTGTTGTGATGTGAAATTTATATAAGAAATAAAGATTGCATTTATTTCCCCGCAAATGTGATGAAAAATATTATATATTATGTATCACGGACGGTAAAAAATACAAAACTCGAGTTATTAAAACCCTCAGCTTTCGGCTTCGGGCTTCTAATGTAGGGTACATTAGAAGCCCGTAAGTTGGTAATTTATTATTTACCGTCCGTACCGTGTAATGTGTAACTATGATAATACTTTTACCTGGGTAACAGTCCTTTCATATGATCTAGTTTGGTAACGTTCCACGGGTTGTTGTCGAACGAGAAATAATAATATTTCGGACTACTTGGTGTTGCAACTAGAGTCAGCTCCTGAAACGTAAACTTGGATGATGAGGTACCGGGTTTGATGTCCGATAAGAACAAGTCGGCCGGGGTCAATAACTCAGGTTCATCTACCGGCGAACTTTGCCGTATTTTTTTTAAACTCATCTAGGTTTCCAAACGTGTCTGACAGTTATATTTTAAGGTTAATGTATATGGCTCTAGCTAGCTCGGTTTAAGCGTTATGGTATGACGTATAATAACTGAAAGACATTTATAACTTGCATCGAATTTAAATAACTATTGTTCCAAAATACAATGTGATGATTTGCATTCTCGCCACATTTAAGAAATTAATAATATAAATAATACTAAATCATCTAAAAATATTTAAAAAATATTCTGTTCAATATTCTGACTAATTGTATAAGGAAAAGTTCTGCAAAATTGTCTTTAAAACGTATACACCACGCGAGGGCAATGACCCCGAAGGTTTCCGAGTGCTCGAACGATACGTAATCTTTCTCGCTTAATTACCTATTTTTTATTATTATGACTACGTACTGTTACAATTTATTATTTTTTTACCATAATAAGGTAAGTTGACTGAATTTTTTTTTAATTTACCAATTTTAGATTAAAACTTACTCGGTAATCGGAAATTAGATAATGTTATTCATAAATTACTGAATGAATTGCCTACGTCCATTCAAGATTCATATGTGGAAGGGGAATGAAAAAACAAACTAAAATACTTGTTAGAGCGAATAGCTGTGGACGGATAAACAGTGGTTTTTGAGCTACATCTTATTATTATATTATTTTTTAGCCTTATTTTTATTACATTAGCCTTAATTCAAATAAATGAAGAATGAAGAACTATTCACATTAGACCGTTACGGGCGTGAGCCGAGTCACGTACGAGGCTCGGATTGGAAATGCTGCGTACATTTTATTTGAAGTGATTCACATTACAACGTGTCGCGTCGGTGGCACGGACGAGTGACGCCCGAGCTCGTCCGAACAGCAGGCTCGTTGTAATTTGAACATTTGAACACTCGCCAGTGCGTCGTACGAGCCTCGTCCGAGTGTGCGACTTTAAAGAAAGTGACTGCGTTCTTTTTTAATTTAAAAAAATTAATAATGAAATATTAATTGAGTGCGTAAGAAATTACCCAGTGCTTTGATAACATGATATAACACTACGTTCGTATTCTAGAGTAAATCTTCAGTCTAAGATCGTGTGGCACGTACGAGACACGGACGCCTCGGACACGGCTCGCGCCCAGCAAGATCTAATGTGAATCATCCTTAAATTAATTTAAAAAGTACCAGATATTCATAATTATGATGGCCTTGTTTACTTACCTTCTCAATTTCCACGTAGAAATCTTCGACTCGCCTCAATTTTATGCCGACGTTAACGTTAGAAGGATTAGAAGTGGATATTTGTATCGTCGGGCGATTTTCATACGTAATGTCTGCAGGGGAAATAGTCACAGAACAATAAATACAGTAGGAGTGCTTAGTTTGCGTGGTACGTGCGCCAACAGTTCGCGGAGTTCCACAAACTTGAGCTGGACGTTATCCGGTCAAATCTCGGAAAACGTAGAAAATGACATATTTCGCTACTTAGGAGTGCAAAAATGTTAGTCACACTTGTAATATTATCCATGATGGTGTTTCATAATATGGTTAAATCTTATTATATTATTTTCATGTATTTGAAAGTTTCTGTTTATTTTAATAATTTTTTTATTGCACGAACGTCGCGCATGGGGTCATTCTAGTAGCAGCCTTATTTGGAAAATTACTTGACATCGATAATACATAGTAAATATTAATAACCTAATTAGTTAGTTATCCGAAAATCTTACCGGGGGAAGAAGGGGGTTAAAAATATATTATTGTACAGTACTCACTGGGCCCGGCGTCGTGTGGACACAGCGTCCTCGCCATATCATTGAACTGCATCACGGTACTGCTGGTTTGTACTACCAGAGGAAGTTCCCACGACGAGATGCCTGCGGTAAAAAGAATCAGATAGTATTTGCTATCCAGAAAAAACACCTATGACGACATTGGTAACATAACGGTTTGTGCTTGTTCCCTGATCGGAATATTTCCATCATCGACTTCATTCCTATCCTAAAAAAACGCACTGATTTGAGGGTAGGACCTTCCCCGTTTTGACGGATTCTATTACAACTACGCCGCATTGACGCGATATCACCGTAGCAGTTGTCCAACGGCAATACGGAAAAATCATCTTTACGGAAAATCATCTTAGCACCTCATCTGTCTGCGAGAGACCAGAGTGGGTGGCGCGACAATCTAACACCTGGGCATACGCATAAAGACCGGCGACCGGCACATCTATCGAGGCGAGGAAACAACTCAAGGTCAGTTAGTGCGTTCACCCTACCGCATTTTGGTCCCGTTCGATATATTTAAAATTATCAGACTTGGGGTCAGATTCTAGCCAAGCGTATGTTTAACATTACGCTTACCATTATGGTCGGATCTTTTTGTTGCTCTATGCAAAGTGTAGGTGAGACTCGCGGTGTGTATTGTATTGTCCTTTATACCCAACCAACATCGAAGTCTACGCTCACCTTTCTGCTGAGTGGCAGTAATGAATAGTGGATATTCGCCGTTGATGGTATCATTGCTCGACACGTGAACTCGTGTGGGGTAGCCACGGAGCCTCTCATTGTCCTAGTAACAATAAACTATTTTAATTTTAAAAAATTAGGTATACTTCGTACTAAACTAAAAAAACAATTATTGACACAAACGTCGAACAACTCAAAGAAAAGTTCCTGCGAACTGACTTTTTAACCGACTTAAAAAAAAAGGAGGAGGTTATACGTTCAGCTGTATGCGTGTTTTATGTATGCTTTCAAATATCTCCGTCGATGGTGGACCGATTTTGAAAATTCTATTTTTGTTTGAAAGGGTGCACTCTCATAGTGGTCCCGTTGCCACCAAGTCAGAATCTGATGAGGGGCTCCCATGGAAATCGAAAAAAAACCCGATAAGCACACTTCTGAGGTCAGATTTTTTTCAATGAAAAAGTTATTTATAGTATGTAGGCAGCAAACAAGCATACGTCCCGCCAGATGGAAAGCAGTCACCGTAGGATACGAACGCCTGCAACACCAGCGGCGTCATTTTTAGAACCCTTCTCATACCCCTTTTGAAGGACTTCATGCTGAATTCTTGCGGGAAAACCCCGACAGGGACAGTCGCAGTAGAGCTCCTTGTGAAAGAGTTCGTCCAGGTCCAGCTCTGCCACCTTACCTATTTCTGCCGCCAAGCAGTAATGTGAGTATTACTGCGTTTCGGTTTTAAAGGGTAAGGTTGTTGGTGAAATTACAAGCACATGGGACTTGTCAACTTATTTTTTATTTTTTTATTTTTTTTTCATTTATTTGTGGCAACAAACAGTCATACATGAAATAGTAATTATTTACATATATTCCTCTTAAAATAGACCTATAGTGCCAGCAGATTATAAAATAGACCTATAGTGCCAGCAGATTATAATGTGTCTTAGGGTGACGGGCGCAGTGGCAGTGCCCCTCTGATCTTTGCGATTTAAAGCTCTGAGTGGCACTGCAACTGTTATAGCTTACCATCAGGTGTACGACTTGTTCGTTCCGTCACTTGATATTGTATAATAATCTCAGTACAGAGTACTAAAAAAACCGACCTCAAAAGTACGTTGAATTACGTCCATTTGCTAAGTTTTATTGAAATATCCTTAAATTCGCCACTATACAGGACTTGACACTGAAGATAACAAAAATCGGTTCTCACTACTCAAAGTATATGGAGAGAAAAACGCCTTGAATTGAAGAAATAGCAAAATCAACCATTAAAATAATTGCTCCTAAATTAAAGTTAGGCGCTATTTATAACAAAAATGAATCTTCAAGCGTGAACAGCCATTCTTAGAGGTGGGTGATTTTCTTCAAAATGAAATGGGACCACTATGGAAGAACCCCCTTTCCAACAAAAAAAGAATCATGAAAATCGGTTTACAAATACCGGAGTTACCGCGTAACATACATACAAAAACAAAAAAAAACACAGTCGAATTGAGAACCTCCTCCTTTTTTGAAGTCGGTTAAAAAAAGAGAGTTCATTCCACAAGTATACTGGACTGGGCTGGAACGAACCATCGTCTGTTGCCATGCCGGAGTCAACGCTCTTACCAGCTGTGCTACATATCGAGTTAGCAGATCTTACGAATTTCTTTATACGCAACAAAAGCATTTGTGACATTTATTAACAAAAAGAATCAATCTGCATAAAATTAACCAGTCTACCTAGCGTAATCATACTGGAATTTTCTCAAAGGTAAGAACCACGTAAAAACGACGGCTGAAGTGCTTTTTCGTTTTGCAGTCTGTTCCACGATGGTTTTTAAATTAATGTCAATGTAATGAATGTCAACATCGATGAATACGGAGGCTCGTGCAGATGCGGATTATCTGCGGATGCTGAAATTCGGTAACCTATCACGAACTCGATTTTTTTCCGAAATAACTTCAACTTCAACTTTTGTGTCTATGGCTCCGTCGTTTTGCACGACGATTTTGCCAATGTCAGGGTTGAGAGACATGTGTAGCGGTAGTGAGACAGATTGCCGGTTATTAAAATACTTCGGCGGTTTTTATTCACAATGACGGTTATATATATATTTTAATGACATTACAAAAATATAATTTGAGAGCTCATGTTATTTTCTTTCTTTTAGAAACGTTTGTTCGAATTTTGATTACACCGAAAACCGAATTATAACAGAACCGTTGTTCTTTCAGGATATGTTGGATGTTTATCGCAAAGACACGATTAGGTTAGGTTAAATTAGGTTTAAAAGAAAAACATTTTCGTCTCAAAATTACTTTCGAGGTTATGAAAATTCTAGCAAACGTTATTTCTGGAAAATGTTATTTCAGACTTCTGATATGTAACCCTGAAATTCGCAACGACATGTACTTAGTGAAGTAATTTAACTTGCAGTGCCCTTACAGGGTCTATGTCTGAGCATATAATCTTTTCTGTGCCAAAGAATGCAATAAACGATAAATCGTAAAAACATATGAGCCCCACTTTACCTCAATAAAGTCCAATATCTGTTCAGTAGTGCTGTTCACCATCAGATTGATTAAGCTGTTGTAATTGTGCCTGAAAGTTAAAAACAACAAAATCAGAACACCGCCTGATGATGACAGACAGCTGCAATGTCCAATCTACAACAAGAATTGCAATTGAAAAAATGCAATAGTGTACTGCAGTAGTGTCCTCTGATATTAAATAGCTTACCAAAAAATCTTATAAATGAAATAACAGATACAATCCTATACAAGTCAAAAACAAATTAAAAAGATTTTATATGAAATATCAATATCAGAGGAGGCTTACACAAACTTGTCATTGATTTAATTATTGTACCTTACATATTAACGCAACTCACTAGAAAAGGATAAATAATCTTTAATTTTAAGATTCTACCTTGAATGTACTGTAACTCGTTATTAATATTTGCAATAAACAGTTTTAAATTTTAAATTTTTATTTTTACAAAACAAATGCAATAATCTTTATTTCATAGGTAAGCAAATTAGACTTAAAGCCGTGGTAACCTAATGGTTTGGCCCTACTGCCTCTCAAGCAGAGGGTCGTGGATTCGAATCCGGGCTCGCACCTCTGAGTTTCTCGGAATTTATGTGCGAAATTGAATTTGATTTTTATCATGAATTTTTCGGTGAAAGAAAACATCGTGGTGAAACCTGCATGTTGAAGAAGGCTCCCTCGGAAAACGTGTGAAGACCCCAACCCGCATTGGGCCAGCGTGGCGGACTATGGCCTAAACCCTTGTCTGAAAGGAAACCCGTGCCCAGCAGTGGGACATATAAATGGGTTGACTATGATGATGATGAAATTAGACTTGAAATTGCCATACTGATTAAACTCCTCATTCGTAAGGCTCGCCCTGAGAAGAATGAGCAAGAAACTCTAGGGGTTGCTCTTTGTAAATATACGCTTCAATACATTTATCATTACAATATTTAATTTATTCGAGAATACCTAAAAGAGCTAAACAGGGTTTCACAATAGTTTTAAACCTCGTGAATGGCAAATTTTGAATATCAATTGGAATGTTATTATAGAAGTATATAGCGTAATATATATTTCCCCTTAAATGAATTTGAGACTTTATGAAGACGATTGTCAAGAACAGCTAGTTTATTTTTATTCCTCTTATTAATATAATGACAGACATATGTCATTATTTTTCATAAAAAAAAATATTTTTCTTAACATAAATAACATTTTTATAAATGTACTGAGACGTTAGTGTAAGGAATCTCTTTAGACTTATCTCTCATAGACACTGTAGGGTCCAGATTGTAAATTGCCCTAACCGCACGTTTCTGCAGGACAAATAAGTCTATTAATGTTGGCGGCATTGTCCCTTAGCAAAATGCCGTATCGTGTACCAGTACCACCATGTATCAGCACCATGGTCAGGGTTGACGTACCTATCTATCATAGCGGTATATGGTAACTATTGACATAGGAGATCGACTAATGGAGCTAATATGGAGCTGCGCAGATCATATTCCAAAGTGTACAACAGGTAGAGTAGAGCAACAACCAGTGTTGGCTAAAGGGGTTAAGTTGGGCTATGAATGATAATGATTATTAAAATAAGTTATAGTCTAGCCAAATTCAATATAGAATGTTTGATAACAAAATATTGCCAGGCAACCAATAATAACAGATGTAAAGAACATTTTTTGTCGATGCGCATTGTTAAAGCTAGCTCTTTCCACAGCCTGCTTGTGTAGTTGGAATTTAAATAGGTAAATAGACAACTCGATTATGTATAAGTAATACTTACTTAGACAATTATTATAAACTTTTGTAAGATTTTATTTTATACTAATTTACTACATCCAGCATTAATATCTGATTCTAAACTTGAATCTCAATCTCTCCCTTCAAATCATAAAATTGTTACGGATGACACAGTTTTACAAATATTTACTAACTTGTAATTTTTATGTTAGTTTAAAATCGACTAGGAAATCGATTCCGAAAAATATTACTTCTGCAATTACTCGCCTATGCTTAGCTTACATATGCACTCCTGTTCTTGGCTAATTGGCGAATGCGAGTGTGGTCTGGTAGAAGGTACTCTCGTGCACCTCACTACTCTGTATATCAACATTGATATCCTTCCCCTAAAATCCCCCAGTTCGTTAATATGAAATTCCCCCTAACTAGAGATGGGTTTTTACCCGATAAACATCCGTTTTTACTGGGGATTTATGATAAATCGATCGAATCGATAATATCGATTCTCGTGCGCGCCGTCGTACGTACCGGGCGCGTCGCGTATCGCTAGATGCGCATCATGGCCGACATTGTGAAGTGTTGCAATTGTAATATTGTGGTGAACGAACTTTTGGCGTTTGTGATCAACAAACTACATATTATGGACGATGAAAGTATGTGCAGAATCTGTGTAGCTTTTTTCACCACGCAGGATATTAAAACTGCAAAGGATTTGCTATTCCAATCCGTGCCTGCGCAAAAAAGGAAAATTATACGAAAGAAAGCCGGGCAAGAACGCCGTGATATTGACGACATTCTTCAACTGATAAAAGTAACTGAACCTGATAAATTTCCAGTGTTTGTGGCCCGAGACTTGCATAAATTGCCGCCTATTGATTTTGACTCAGTGGATTTGTCATCACTTCTAAAAGACATAGTGATACTTAAAAACGAGTTGCAAACTATAAAAACACAGTACGTAACCATGGATCACCTAAATTTCATTACAACGAAGATGCAAAAGGAGTCAGAACGGGTGCCGAATAACGGTGATTATTTCTATAGAAACGTTAGTAATTCAAATATTAACCTTAGACGGGGCGCATATCTAGACAGCGGACCAATAGGATTATCGCATTTCGACATGTCATCGCCGAGCAAATTGGACGCTAACAAACCTAGCACGGAGTTACCCTCGCGCCTACAAAAAACAAAAAGTTCGCCATCACTCTCACCTGCACAGGAGCGAGTAGAAAAGTCGCGCTGCAACGTCACCGCTCCGCCAGCGCGGTCGGAGTCGCCGGAGTCGTGTCCCTCCCCTTCGCCCGCGCAGCGGCCCACCGTAACAGCTGCCTCGCAAACCGGTAAGCATGCGTCGCTCGTTATCAACGGCGAGGGTGACTCATTGTTGACCGATCAGCTGATCAATTGTGAAGGTATAAGTGACTCGCACGGCAGAGTAAACTCGAATATTTTGTCATTTGCGAACATTACGAGACATGGAGATTGGAAGACGGTCGAACGTCGACCGAAGTCAAAAAATATAAACCGTTTTATTGGAAAAACCGGCATAGCGACCACCGATATCAACTGTAAATTTAAAGCAGCGGAATCGAAAATACCCATCTTAATTACAAACGTGCATAAGGATACTTCGAAGACAGACATAATTGGCTATATACACGAGAAGACACGGGAAAGTGTTGAATTGAAACAAATCGCTATGAAGGACAAAAATAAAAATATCATAACGCATACAAGTTTTATGTGTCCAAGCATAAACTTGATATGTTTCTGGACGAATCGCTATGGCCTAAGAACATTATATTCCGTCGTTTTGTGACGACTAAGTATAATTTTGGGAGTGATAAGGCCGTGAGTGCAACGAACGCCACGAACGCTACGAGCGCCATGAGTGCTACGGTCGGTTCCCAAATAGCCATTAATGGATAGTGCTATACATGAGGTCAGTCTGTGTTCATTTAACTGTCGTAGTATAAAACGGTCAATTAATGACATTAGACATATATGTACGTTTGCGGATATAATAGCGCTACAGGAGACCTGGCTTTTGTCACACGACCTGACGTTTCTAAACAGCATAAGCGACGAGTTTGCCTGTACGGGGTCATCGGCAGTGGACACGTCAAAGGGGTTGCTGCGAGGCAGGCCCTATGGCGGCACCGCGCTGCTATGGCGTAAGAAGATGTTTCCGTCTACTTCCGTCATTCAGTGTGACAATGCTAGAATCAGTGCTATTAAAATAAAGTCCGGTGATAAAGAGATACTAGTATTTTGTGTGTACATGCCAAACGATGGCGTAGATAATTTGCCTGATTTCGTGCAGTGTATGAGTGCAATGGTCGCAATAGTCAAGGAACATTGTGTCGAAGTGGTTTACTTACTAGGTGACTTTAACGCTCACCCGAGCGAGTTATTTTGTGACGAATTGTCGAGTTTCTGTGCCGAGCATGGTTGGATTTGTGCGGATATGACTAAACTAGGCATCGACTCTGGCACTTATACTTACCTTAGTGAAATGAATGGGTGTCTAAGGTGGTTAGACCATTGTGTAACCACAACTGCTGGGTGGGAATCTGTAGTTGATGTGTTTGTTGATTATAATGTATATTGCTCGGATCACTACCCTTTAATTGTTAAATGCAATATTAACTTGGTGAAACCAAAGCTGTGTAATCGTAATTCTATATCGAGCGGAAAACAAATAAGGTGGGGTGTGAGAACACCTCTTGAAATTGACAGTTATACGAACAAATGTAATGAACTATTAAAGTTAATTGATTTGCCTGACGAACTTCGAAATTGTAGTGACAAATGCTGTATACAAAACTTAGATCATTGCAATATCATTGAGAACTTGTATTGTAACATAATAAATGCATTGTGTGAGGCATCTATATTCAGTAAGGTCGTCACGAGTGGTCTCGGGAAACCTAAAGTTATAGGTTGGAATAAGTATGTTAGTGTGGCTCACAGGGAGGCGAGGCTTTGCTTTCAAAATTGGGTTCTGTGTGGTAAACCCACAGCGGGGTATACATTTAACGCAATGTGCTCTAGTCGTAAAGTATTTAAATCCAGACTTAGGTGGGTTCAACAACATCAAGAACAAATCAAAATGGATTTGCTTGCCACTCATCACGGCAAAAATGATTTTCGCAACTTCTGGAAACTCACTAAGAAGATGGAAGCACAGCCTGGCCTCTCTGTCAGTGTCAATGGCATCTCTGACGCCAAGGGTATTGCCAACGTGTTCAGGGAGCATTTTAATATAAAGTCGTCTGTTGGCAGGAGCGGTGGGTGGCAGGTGCTCGGCGATGAGACTAGAAATGACCATCAAGTACGTTTTAGTGCGAAAGACATAATTGAAACATTGAAGGAAATGAAAAGGGGAAAATCTCCTGGTCATGACCACTTAAGCGTCGAGCATTTACAGTTTGCTGGGCCGCACTTGCCCAGACTATTATCAATGCTCTTTAATCTCTGTATTGGACACTCATATTTACCAATGCATTTAACGAAAACTGTAGTAGTTCCTATACTCAAAAATAAAACTGGTGACATTTCTGACAAGACGAACTGTAGACCTATCTCTCTGGCTACAATTGTCGCTAGAGTACTGGATAGCCTACTTAATGTGCAATTAGACAAATATGTAAATTTACAAGACGCACAGTTTGGTTTCCGAACTGGTTTATCTACTGAGAGCGCAATCATATGTCTTAAGCATGCTGTTGAGTATTACACCCGTAGAAAAACGCCTGTATACGCATGTTTTTTAGACCTCTCTAAAGCTTTTGACCTCGTTAACTACGACCTGCTATGGAAGAAGCTTGACGAGGTCAAATTTCCCAGAGAACTTACACGTATATTCGAATGTTGGTATGAGGGCCAGAGAAATAGTGTCCGTTGGGGTGACGTCTTGTCAGACGAGTACGGTTTGGAATGTGGAGTGAGGCAGGGGGGGACTGACATCACCGAAATTATTTAACCTGTATATAGATGCCCTGATAGGTGAGCTCAGCAGCACGCATGTCGGATGCCACGTAGACAGGATCTGCTTTAATAATATAAGTTACGCCGACGACATGGTGCTGCTGAGCCCATCTGTTGGTGGCTTGAGAATGCTTATTAGCATTTGCGAATCGTATGCCATTGGGCATAATCTTAGATACAATGTGCTCAAAAGTCAGTGTATGGTTTTTAAGGCGGGAAGCAAATGTCCATCACACGTACCTCCCATTCTGCTAAATGGTCAAGATCTTAAGATGGTGACCTCCTTTAAATATCTTGGCCATTTGGTAACGGATGATTTACGTGATGACGCGGACATTGAGAGGGAACGCAGAGCACTGTCTATAAGAGCGAATATGTTGGCGCGCAGGTTCAGTCGATGTACGGTACGAGTTAAAATTACTTTATTTAAAGCGTACTGTACATCGCTGTATACCTGCAGTTTATGGAGCAGGTACACCCAACGCTCATACAACACAATGCGTGTTTTATACAATGACGCGTTCAGGATTCTGTTACGGCTGCCGCGATACTGTAGCGCGTCCGGAATGTTTGCGGACGCGAGTGTAGACGGTTTTGGTGCGACATTGCGCAAGCG